CAGAAATGATGGCAAGATAAGCCTTTTCATGGTTGGTACACTGCCATTACTAAACATTTGTAGACAAACCCTGTGACCATCAGTTATGTATGTGCAAGGTTAGAAGCTGAAACTGAAGGTTTTATTCTTGCTGCACAAGACCAATTCTTGCTAACTAGAAATTACCAAGCACACGTATTGAAAAATTGTGCTAACCCGAAATGCAGATCCTGTGATAAATATCTATAAACAGTTAACCATCTTGTATCAGGTTGCATCATGTTAGCAACCACTGAATATGAAACTCGGCATGATAGAGCGGACCAATATCTGAATTAGATAATATACAACTTTTATGGGAAGGAAACTGCAAGAAACTGGTGTGAATATGAATTTGGTTAGATTGAAAAAATATTCTTTCCAAAATTTTGTATCTACCAGTGTCTCATGTTTTGTGTGCAATGTAGATGTGATAATATCAACAAAGTCCGATGAAATCCTAATGGATGAAACACATCGCAAAAACTTTTTTCCAATTTGTCATACTATTTTTCTAAATACTGTTTGTCGAGATATAAAATTATACAAAATTATATATCATTACATATATATATATATATATATATATATATATATATATATATATATATATATATATATATATATATATATATATATATATAAAGAAGTAATAGATTTTTTTATTCATTAATCAGACAGAATTTATTACTTCAAATATTATTTACCTTATAGCTAAAAATTGCTTTGTTTATGTTTAGATATGAAACGGAGCCGATATGAACTTTCAAGAATCTAGGAAGAATTATACAGCACTATTCAGCATTGTTTGATTGGGGATGCACTCTAAGGCTGAGTCAGTCTAAAGCACATCAGATCTAACAAAAGTTTCTTTTGGAAAAGGAGACACAAATTTGATTCCTGCTGGAGAGCAGATATTTTTCTTTAATAAGATTTCTCCAATATTCAGGCCAGTATACTAGAATAAATACATATACTGTTTAATAAATAAATTGAGTATCTACTCAAAGTATGATAGTTCTATTGGACTTCATAATTTTAAGAAGATTATTTTGGATTATATTGTGGAAACTGAAAATGACTGAACATGAAAAAAGTAGCAACAATATTATCTTTTTCTTTAATTTTAGATAAAGGATTGTCAACCATCATATAAAATTAAGAAGAAAGAAAATTATTAATGAAAATTAATCAAAATATGTGACAATGCTTTATCTAAGAATAAAAATAAATTAAGATAATATTAAAAATACATCTTCTTCGCCTGTGAAGGTCTTTTTTTGGATTCATAAGAAGGAATGGGTCATTACTCTACCATACTGAGTGTTAGTAAGGGTGGATGTGTCTCTTTTCGATTCATAGTCATCCAACAGTGTTTGCGTAAGTGAATCTAATAAACCTGACTGAAATTTGAACTTAGCTCTCTGATTTCTCATCATAAGCTGTTATCTATTACACCACCCACACATCCAAGTTTACAGCACCTGGTATTCTAAAGTGGTCACTTTACTGACCAGGTTTGACATTGCTTAACTTTGGTGATTGAACGAGAACTAATGTAAAAACAATACTAATGTATAGAACTAATGTAAAAACAATAACAAATATGGTGGTAAGAGTGATCAATAAAGATATTGAATGGTAAGCTTTATAAAATTAAATTTTATCTTCTTCTGATTGTAGAATTCATTGCAGTTCAGACAGTAGAATCAGTTGGTACAGTTAGCCAGGTTTCTCCAAGACAAAGGAACATGAGTTTGAGTCTTACTAGGAACTTGTTCATTTTTATTCAAGTCTGTGTTGTCTGCATGCTGCTCTAAACTAATGGCTTGAAGAAATTGTAATAAAAACAATTGAAATGAAAGAAAAGACAAGACAAAATGGTGGCATTGTACAATAGGCACTCTGACCAGAAATAATCATTTTTATCAAAATCTTTTACAAGAATTCCTACAGAAATTAGTGAAAGAAAGTGAGAAGAAAGAATTAAACATCAACTGCAAGAAGGCAGAATACATGGTTGTCAGCAATAGGAAGAGCTCAACATGTAAATTACAAAATGAACATACTAAAATCGAACAAGTACAATAATTTAAATACCTTGAAAGTCTTTTAACAGGATGTAAAGTGTGACACTGAAATCCTAAGGTGCATTGGGATAGCAAAAGATGTTTTTCAAAAATAAAGTATTAAGAAACAGGAAAATTTCATTATGAACAAAAAAAAGAGTACTGAACTGTTATGCAATATCTGTTCACCTATATGCCAGTGAACATCGGTCAATCTCCTCCCAGATGAAGAAAAAATTTTAAGCAACAGAAATGTGGTTCTACAGAGGAATGCTGAGAATACCATGGATTGAACATGTGAGCAATGATGAAGTTTTTAGAGAAAATGGAAACAAAAAGGACACTTATATTTAACATCAGAAAGAGGTTCAAATTTTTAGAACACATACTGAGGAAACAGGGTTTGGAGAATTTGATAGTCACAGGATTAAATGAAAGCAAGACAGAGGAAAACAACATATAACCTACCTAACAAGCTTGAGTAAATGGATGGCCAAAAAAGGTTTAGTAGAAAAAGCAAAAAGACAAAATTTATTAAGGGCTACAAAGGAAAGGAAATTGTAGAGAGCCATGATCACCCATGTCCTGATGGGACATGGCACATAGAAGAAGATTAAATATTTCAGACCATGAATATATATATATATATATATATATATATATTCTTTCATTAAATTTTATAAAAGTTAATAAGGGGCTCTAGGTTGTTATGTAAATTCATTGTAAATTGATCTATGGAAACCAAAATAAAATGTATTTGTACCATGTGATTTCTTAAAATATAAAGATCAAAAACAAAACCATTGAAATTTGTGATCTGGATTTCTTTGAATATAACTATCAATTGCACACTACAGATTACAAATTTAAAAATTTCTTTTTACATTTTAAGAAAAATATGTATGAGTATCTTTTGTTTTGTCTTCCATAGGTGGATCAATTTACAATGAATTTACATATTTAACTGGATGCACCTGTTAACTTTTATAATATTTAATAATTTAAAAAAAAATTCATGATCTAGAATGCTTAATCTATAGTAATAGAAACAGAAAATTGAAAGAAATGACTATCACTAGTTGCAGTACCTATTTTACAACTCTGACTAAACTAATAATAAAGAATGTCAAAAATTATGAATTTTTATGCTAGACATTTTTTGCTGAATACTGCTTAGGTAGACCACTTGCAGTTGATAGTAACCAAAAAAAAAAAAAAAGACATTACTCATGAATTTTATATATTATTTTCTAAATATCTAAATGAAGCACAGAAAATTATTTTCACCAGTTTAGTTATCAGGGTTATTTTGATGTGTGGCTTCTACATAAAAAAATAGCTGAATTATATGTAAATGTTTCTGCTTTGAAAATATTTGTCAAAGATGATGAAAAGTAGATATGCTACACCAATGTATGAAATTCCTACATTTCTTTAATTTTTATAAATGCCATGTCTCTTCAGAAATGTATATCTCTCTGTAGATTCCTTTTATTATCTGTGAATTTTCCATGACTTCTTGGGAGAGGAAGTGGTCTTCCCATTCTCTTCTCCATGTTTTTTAAATCAGAGTAGTTCTTCTACAAGATTGGCTTACCACCCAGGTGATAGAGCCTAATTTAATTTTTTTCTTTTTTACAATGATGTTCACCCTGTACAAGATCCAAGAGCCACTTGAGGTAGAGGGCTACAGAATAAGAGGTACAGTTTATGGGTCCATGGAGAATGAAAAGATTTTAGAAGAAACCGGAAACCTGATCCTAAACAGGGAACATAAGATAAATTTCTACTCCTGTTCAAAAGATTGGGGAGGAGTGTGAACTGGATGATCTGTCCACCTGTTTAACTCATAGTTAATGGGACAGAGATTGATTCATACCTTCCCTAAGTGTATTTGTGTGAAAGTGAATGTAAGAGGCTTGACTGGAATTTGAACTTAGTTTGATTCCATTTTTTGCACTAATAACCATTATGCTACCCAAATATCTTACCGTGCTATACCAAAAGCCAATCTTTATCCAAAGAAAGTGATGCTGTGTGTACATGATGAGTACTTTTTTATGTTAAGAGAGAGGGTGAAGATAATATTAGATGACATGTTTCTATGGGGATCAGGTAAAAATCACTACAGCTTGGTTTGGGGAGATTTTACTCATCTGCTATACTCATCAAATATTGCACTTTTGGATTAACGTTTATTGTGATCTTTACAGAATTCCCTTAATGAAAGAAAATTTCATTTCCCCAGAAAAGGCCAAAAGGCATTGAGAGAAGTTTTTTTGCTAAGAAAACTAAGATGTTCTGAGAAGATTTTATGATGAAATTGCTTGGAAGATGCCAGAAGAGAGTAAAACAAAATGGTAAATATGTTTTCCAATTAATTTACAGCTGAAAATAAAACAAAAATAATTGTCCTTTATTTTTTTTTAATAAACAGGACAAATTTTTTGCCCACAATATGCATGTTTACACACACACACACACACACACACACACACACACACACACACACACACACACACAAACACACATAGATGAGCCTGAAATTATTCATACCCCTACAAAATATCAAATTTTACAAAAATATTTTCACTAAATGTCCGACCCAAATTGATGCATGTAGAAAGAAGAGTTTGATTGATTTCTTTTTATGACTTATCAACCCTTTACAGGTTATTTAAAACCGTAAAATAGTTTTAGATTATAATAATTTTCTTTTCTTTTGAGATAATAATAGTTTAGTGATACAAGTCTTACTAATTAACCCATAGCTGGGGAAATAAGAGGTGGATTCTTACCTTTCCTAAGGGTATTTGCACATAAATGAATATAACAAACCCAATGAGAATTGGAACTAGGCTCACTGATTAATAATTCTGAGCCATTGCCCATTACACTGCCCACACATCCAAGCTTACAGCGTCTGGTATTCCTAAATGGTCACCCATCTAGGTACCAACCAGACTCAATGTTGCTTAACTTTGGTGATCGTACAGAAACTGTGTTTCAGTGTGATATGGCTGAAAGTCAGAGAGAAGAATGAAATGAGGAGGGATATGATGCAGAGGATAAGAGTTACTATAATTTCTTGTTTGCTAATCAAATATTTATGAACTACAAGTAAGTATGAGAGGGTGCTAAAAAGTTCTTGGTTTGGTTCCTATTGTGTAGTAAGATTGACTAACCTTCCCTACACCTATTATTTAAACATGGACTCATCCGTCTGCTATGAGTAGAACATCTGCTTATATAAGAGGAGCAAAAAGTGTATTCTCATTACATGTTTTCATGTGATTAAACCCTTCTTCACTCAACCTTTTATTTACAGTGTTTTTTTATAGTCTTACTAACCAGCAACAATGATTGTTATATGAAATTTACAGTTCCCACTTGCAAAATCAAACCAAATGATCAAATATCAGAATTTTTAAAAATTTCATCTTGGTTAAGCTGAGAACTCAGGAGTGCATCCTTGTTGTTTTAGTTACTTTTATCCTATATACATTCAAAGTTGTGTCTGTGATCAGATATAAATATGTATGCATAACATACATAAAACACACACACATTAAATTTATCTCTTGAAATGACAATTTTCAAAGTGAATTTGGCAGTTGATCAACAAATGATAAAAGCCAATTGTATACTAATGCATGTAGATTTGTAAGAAATATTTATACCTGTATTAATCTGTTTCATTAAAAATGACTGACAAATTTTTCTTGATTTTTTTCTTGTATTTTTCTTGTATGTCAACAGGAGATTTCTTTTTTGGGCTTAGTGTATTTAGAAACTGTTCAAATGATCTGTTCATTCCAATTTTCACACATCCAAGAAAGAAATCTCTTGTTTGGATGCAAGAAAAATTTAATAAAACTTCACTGAAATACCTTGTCAGTTATTTTTTAAAACATATTTGAGCAGGACTGCTGCCCCAAAACACAACTCAATTCATGTGTGCATATATTCATAGCTCTATCTATCTATCTATCTATCTATCTATCTATCTATCTATCTATCTATCTATCTATCTATCTATCTATCTATCTATGTCTGTCTGTATCTCTGTCTGTCTGTATATCTGTCTGTCTGTCTGTATCTATCTATTTATCTGTATCTGTCTGTCTGTCTCTATCTACCTATCTGTATCTGTCTATCTCTGTCTTTCTGTCTTTATCTATCTATCTATCTATCTATCTATCTATCTATCTATCTATCTATCTATCTATCTGTTCTTTGTGCTTGTGTGTGTGTGTGTGTGTGTGTGTGTGTGTGTGTGTGTGTTTTATCACTAGCTCAAAGTTTAGGTAATTTGTCCATAAAAAATTATTTATTCTAGTACTGAGTATCCGCTTCCCCCTTTGATATCATTCAACTGGGCATATATGCAGTCATCTAATTGAGTACTGGAAAAGGTCTCTCACTATATTCTGTTTATACATATTGTTCAAATTACCTGAAATTTTGGATAGCACTCTCGCTCTGGGTGTGTAATTGTGTTTGTGTGTGCACATTTGTATATGCAGAAGGACATGTAAAATGTCCAAAATGTCTATAGACAGGATGACAAGCATGAGTGAAGTGAAGTCTTTAAATTATTTTACACCATATGGCATCACAATAAAGAACAAACCATTCCAAATTCAGTGACTAAAAATAGAATTACAAAGCATTTTCTAGAGAATCTAGCACTTAGCAACATGTATTGAGAATATATTTGTTTTATTGAAGCTGTTTAATTATATCTACCTCTTGAATATGAACTGAGACCACTGGATGTTATTTCATTAAGTTGATGATGTAAATGATTTGATAAATTTCTAGGAAGCATTTCTTTTTTTTTCCGTTTTCAGAAAATTGTTTCTGTTTGCAGACATAGCCAAAAATGGAGCACCGATGTTTCTTGAATACTTTGATCAATTTAAACATAGAACTGGATCAAATGATTTCACATTGTTACATTAGCATAAAGCTCAGTTGTTCAAGTTAGAGCAAAGATATTGTATTTCCTCAAATAAAGGCCCAAGATACTTATTTAAAAAAATGAACCATTAGGACAGGCACTCATTCAACAGAAGTGATTATTTGAGTATGGTGCTTACTAAATAATCACTCATATGTGAAGCAACTGGAATGGTTATTTTTTGTAACTTGCAATGATTCCATTTATACTTGTCAAATTATAAAATCAAAAAAATACATTTTCTAACAAGAGTGGCAAAACATTTTTCACCTAAATTTATGAACCCTTCAAAATATATAAACCTTTAAAAAGATATTAGACTATCAACTGATTTTTTATGGCTTATCAACCCTTCAGAGGTTATTAAAATCAAAACATATTTTGGATTATCAGAATAATTCTTTTTTTTTTTTTGCTGTGTGAATATTGCATTAACAATTATTTTTTGAGAATACCAATGATTTTTTCCAGATACAAGTCCTACAATTTAAACCATAGCTTGGGGTGGATATGAATTCATACGTTTCTCAAGGATATTTGCATCTAAGTGAATATAATTGTTGTAACCTAGGGAAGGTTACTGAATAGAATAATCAAACGAAGGTTGGAAATAAACAATAATACTTAGGACAAGAACAACACATATAAGATTTGCCAGTGGCATGTAGAAGAAATAGTCAACTGCTAGAAGTGAGTCAAGTGAATTTCACAATGGATCTAAAACTGCAGGATATCTACCAATCACCGCATGTGGTCAGGCTGAATTTAATGTGGGGTACCCAAGCCTGTAGGCTCGGACAAAAATTCCCCATAGACACTGTATAAAACTGGGTCTGGTAGCTGTTTCCTGAGATTCCCTTTGACATAGACTTGTCTGGGGAACCTCTTTGCCTGAAGACCAGCACAACTAGAGACAAATCTCCAACTGTAGACCAACATACAGTATTTACTACTGTATTTATGTGAATGGTGACATACCCATTATCATCCATAGGTATGCTAAAACAATAATCAACCTGACTGGAATTCAAACTTATCTCACTGTTTTCTCATTCCAAGTAAAAATAATTTTGTGAATATCATCAAATGAAGCTTCCTCAACAGTAATGATAAAAATTCTTTGTATGTCTACTATATTTTAAAATAAATATGAATTTGTGTTGGCTGTACCTGTGCATTATAGATGCCTTAACAAAGAGCAAAAGAAACCTAAAATACTGCAGGAGCTCCTGAAAAAAAAACAGAAAAGAAAAGATTTGAGACTGATATTAATGAAGATCAACAAAAGTGTATTAAAAATGATTACAGTTTCTGTTTAATAGCAGTATGTATTATAAGTTTTCTTTTATACTTTAAAAGTCAAACCAAAAATTCTATATCTGATAACAATTTTTTATTTAAGTCAGACCAAAAATAAAGCCATGTCTTTTAATTTGTCCTGCCCTGGTTCATTGATAAAAACAAATTTTATACTTATTTGAAAGGGGGCACTTAAAATTCTTCTTCTTTTATGTGCTGTGTCCCTTCAGGATATAGGTGATTATGGCTGTCCACATCTTCCTGCCCCTTATAGCTCTTAATAAGTTTTGTCTTTTTGCTATTTTCAAATCTGTTCTACCATTTACTCAAGCCCATCAAGTATGCTACATGCTGCTTTCATCTATCCCTCTTTCCCTCAATCTGTCCAGTGTGTATCATATTTTCCATGCCCTCCTTCCTCATTACATGTTCCAAAAATTTCAACTGCCTCTTCCTGATGTTAAGTATAAGTTTCCTTTTTGTTTCCATTTTCTCTCAAACCTCATTGTTGCTCACATGTTCAGGTCATGGTATCCTCAGCATCTTTCTGTAGAACCACATTTCTGTCGCTTCAAGTCTCTTTTTCATCTTTGAGGAGAGTGTCTAACATAGTACTTGAAATTAAAAACGCAAATTTTCCCTATTATAGGAGTTGCTTATTTCAGGAGGGTGCTTTTAAAAAAATACTTTTTGATGGTGAGTGCTTATTTGGGAGAGAGTGTTTATTCAATGAAATATGGTAGTCATGAAACAAAAAGAGGTAAAAGTGACCTTTGCTCTGAAAGACTGGTATCCAATTTTCTTTGCAATGATTCTTGTTGCAGTTTATTTTTTTCTATGTGCCAGGTCTCTTCAAGATATGGGCAATCAGGCCTCTCCTCAACTTCAATCGTTTGTTGAGTAATTTTTAAGAATTTATCACCTCACTTTATCTCTGTTTTGCCATCTATTCACACAAACTTATTCTCAACTGGCCACTTTTGGATTTAATGTCCTGTAAGTGTTAAATTCTTTAGACTCACCTTTCTTATTCTGTGTCCCAGAAATTTTAACTACTTCTTTCTGATTGTAAGTATAAGTTTCTTTGTTGTCCCTATTTTCCTTAAGACTTCCTTGTTGCCACATGTTCTGTACATGGTATTCTTGCAGCAATATAATTGAAGTCAAGATCAAGATTTACTAAGTGAAATAGTTTATATATACAAGAACTAAGAAAACAACTTGCATGTTATTTACAGAAACTTCTTTCACATGTCTGAAGTTATTACATATGCACAGACACAAATATACCCACAGGACTATTAAAGTTATTTTATATGTCTGCTATTAATTTTCATTGAATTTGTTAATTTTTTATAACAAATAAATGACAACAAAATTAATAAGTAGCCTATTCACAAATACTTTTCTTTCCTTTGATTTCTTGTTCTCTTTTTCTTTTGCTCTGAATGTTTTTCAGTATATGCACTTTTGACTCTAAACTGAATAAGGTCATACATCTATCTTTGTCTTTTTTATCTATCTGTCTGTCTGTCTGTCTATCTATCTATCTATCTATCTATCTATCTATCTGTATATATATATATATATATATATATATATATATATATATATATATATATATATATATATGTCTTTTTTTTTATACATCTTTCTCTCTCTTTCTATCTGTCTATCTTTGTCTATCTGTCTTTCTGTCTGTCTCTCTCTCTAACTATTTCTATCTATCTATCTATCTATCTATCTATCTATCTATCTATCTATCTATCTATCTATCTATCTGTCTCTGTGTCTATCTGTCTTCCTCTGTCTGTTTATCTCTCTATTCATTTATATGTCAGCCTGTATCTATCTTTGCCTGTTTTTCTGTCTATCTATACATCCATTTTCTATCTATCTATCTATCTATCTATCTATCTATCTATCTATCTATCTATCTATCTATCTATCAGTCTATATCTATAATAACTGAACTTACTTAACTAGAAGTAGTTTATAAGAACAGCTTGTTATCTATTGTTCTATATCAGTATAGGTCTACTTGATATAATCACAAATGGCTACCAAATTAGAATGACTGAAATGCAATCAGTTTGATATATAGCAATCCAATGAAAAAATAGCTCAAGTATTGGTGCAAAAGAGAGATGTCAAAAATTCAAGTTTTAAATGACAAAAAAATAATCAATTCAAATGAGCTTGTTAAAAATGTTTCAAAACATTTTATAGAAAGCTCTAAATCAATTTCAAAATCTTTGTCTCTGGGAACCTTTAAAACAACTTAAGTGCATTGACAGAAGTGAAACTAAACAGTATTTGTTATTGCATTTCCTTTGGAATGAAATTTATTCAGCATAGTGATTTTGTAAGAAACCAGTCTCAATTTCTCTCTATGATAGGGAGAATTTATATATATATATATATATATATATATATATATATATATATATATATATATATATATATATATATATATATATATATATATATAACACATTTTGAATTAGTTCTTTACTGCATTCAAAGTGACTTTGTCTTCTTTATCCAAATTTATCGCTGAAATTTATCATGCCTCAAAACTTTATACTTTTAAGTTGAAAGTGTGATGCAAAAATCAAAATACATATGTTTCTCATAATTGTAGATCCTGGAAGTTTCAATTTTTGTACCTGGACTCACATCCACATAATGAAGGCATCTCAAGTCAGAGATTAGATAAAAAAATATTTATATTCCATAAGACCAATCACCTTAATGTGAATGGCTGCATGAATACATTATATATATATATATATATATATATATATATATATATATATATATATATATAGGTAGACAGATAGATAGATAGATATAAGTGTCCATATTTAATACATTAAAAAATTTTTCTCTATTAATTAATTCACAGAAAATTTCCATAATATAATGCTGTAGTTACAGATTGCATCAAATATGAGAAACAGTAAAAAGTGTATGAAGAGAAATTCCATTAACTTGATGTGATTCATATGCTGCACACATGTATGTATATTGTAGCATGAAAGATAATAAAAGGTTGTACACATGCACACACACACTCACATGTACTTGTATAATATTAATTAAAATAAGACATAAATAACATGTTCTGATATGTGGATATACACAACTGTCTGTGTATACATATATATCATTATATACATTTGCTGTTAATAGTTGTAAGTCATTATCTTCATGTACAGTACAACCTTTTTGATTAATTTTAAGGGATAGCTGTTAATTAAGATCAAGAAAGAAATAAAAATGGAGAAAATCAAAAAGCAAAAATAGAAATTAAAAAAAAGGGTTTAATTTCTATTTGCCATTTATATGAATGTTAACTTTTCTGTAGTTGTAATTAATAACTTTTTTTTTGTTACTGCAGTGATCTTCAAGACACACAAGTGTGATATCAGTGTGGGCTTATATTTGTTGTAGTGAATTGGCTTTCTGAGTGAGAAATCAGAGCTATTGTAGAAATAAATATTAAAAACATTATAATCAGGCATATCTTACTGTTTCTTGATAGAAATTCAAGAGGACATAACTCTTCAGATGCCTAATAAGTGTTATGATGAGGTTAAATTTCCTTTCTTTTTTGACAAAAAAACAATGACAATGTTACATATATCTAATTAAAATGCACTATTTCTTTACAATAACGTTTTACACATATATAATCTTAGGAATACTTTATGAATATAAGAAGAACAGTACTAGATTGGCAACAAGGTCTCATCATTTTAAAGTTGAAATGGCTAGATGGAACCATAAGTTCCATGTTAACAGTTTCTTCTATTGTACTTCTCATTTATAGAACTCTCTTCTGGTTTCTTGCTTCCCAGTCAACTTTGATCTTCAAAAATTGAAATGCAATGCCAGCTGTTATCTATTGTCTTCTAATTCTTGTTCTTTTATTGTATTCTCTCCTTAATAGTATTTTCCCATATTCTCTAACACTCAGTAACTCCTTGTGTTTTAGTAGCTTTATTGCCTTGCTTGGGGTGAAATGATTAAAAAAAATACAAGTTTAATTATAAGTTTTAGTTACCATTTAACATTCATGATTTCAGAATAAAGTTTTTTTTCTTTTTCATTGAATGTATTTTTATTGATACAAAAGGTTTTTCTAGAAAGTAGCTGTTTTTTTTTCATATTTGCCTTGAATGCCATTCTTCCTAGAGATGGTGTATCGATAAAATAGCTCAGTATATTTGGACTATTGTGAATGTCTAAGTTGGGCATCAGGTAAAGCATCTGTCCTTGTAAAACCTTGCCTTATTAAATTATTATGATGAGTCTCAGTATGTTGACAGTTGTATGTGAAGAAGTAAACTGAGATCCTCTATCAGGCAGGAATCATCTTGATTTTTGCAAGATTAATCCTGTTCATGTCTCAACAAAAAACATGGCTATGATGAGAAGGATGATATTTGATTTGAAGAAATATTTATATAAAATATATTTAATATAAAATATATTTAAATATATTTATATAAAATGCATTTAAATATGTTTATGCAAAACATATTGATATTGTTGCACCCTGCTGGAACTCCAATTCTTTAACTCAAAAGGAAGTGCTCACTTCAACATCCACAGCTCATATGACAAAAACAGACCTTAATTTTGTCCAGCTCTGCACACCAACTTCCACCAAAAAATACCAGGGTCATAGAATGTATTATCTAAACAATCAGAAAAAGGACTATACGGTTTTCACAGAAACCGTTTCTAAGACACTGACTCCCTATAAAACCAATGCTGATTTCATCCAGGAAGGTAGATCTGACTTGCCTGGCATTAGCAATAGACCTCATGATGTCAGAGACTACATGACTGTCCAAGCCATCAGTAGTGACACCAACATGCTTCCATTAACAGTGATGGCTTCAGCCAGCAATGAAACCAGTGGCAGCCACAGAAACTATATCTCGACCACTACAATGCCATAATTTGTGGAATATTTTCTTCTAGGTGTCTATCACATTTGGCTACATAAGTGTGTTGATTTTCTCCCATGAGTCTATTACACTCAATTGCATATGTATGTTGATTTTCTCCAAGTGTCTATCTTGATTATTACCTTGTGTTATACCCTAAACAAATTCTCAGTCTCCTACAACTGATATACAATATCCTGGAATGAGCAAATGATGGCATCTTGTCAATTGCAGGAAATAAAAGTTCTTTCCCTTATGCCAAACATGACTTATGTCCATTTGTTGTTTTGTCACTTCCACTTTTTTTCTTGTTGATGGTAAGGCTGCCATTACAATATAAAATATATTTATATATAAAATTTATTTATATAAAATATATTTATAGAAAACATTAAAATTACAGGGAAATAAATGAAGATTTAATTAATAAAAAATTCAAACTATTGGTTCTCTTTGGAATTTATAAATTGTTCAGCTATAACTGTACTTGGAATTGTGCATTTCCACACCCGTTTTAATAATGGACATTCTGGCACCAGGTTTTTCAGAGAAAAAGAAAGACTTTTGTAGCTCTTGGACATTTGGGAACTATACATTGTGCTGAAATCAACAGAAATAGCTTCTTGGTCTGCTTGTGACATACTTGCCAAACATTGATTGAGAGATATGAAAGTAGTTTTTCATGTATTTTTACTTTAAGTTGGTATTAACTTGTATTCCTTCAAATGAGACAGAAGAAGAAGGATGATTATATGGACTGATTTCACAAATCTATTTACCATTCTTCTGTGAATTCTTTGCCCATTTTTGCAACACTAAAACACAATTATTTCATCTATATTACTGAACGTGTCAAAAACATAAAGATACCCATTAGGAGTGAATTTCACTTTTTCTCTTATCATTAAAATATTGGCTGTTTGGGAAGGGTAAAAGAGCATGCCAATTTCTGAAAAATCAGCTTGTCTATTACTTACAAGCATTTAATGCCAAACAGTGGGTATCAAAAACTCTGGTTGGTGCCAAAATATCATAGACAGGACTCTATCATCTTAACATATATCCTTGTTCATTTGACCTGGGTAATAAAGTGCTAAATAAGCATTTTACACCAATGAAGCTGAGTAGAAAAAAAACATTTTTCTTGTTGCTATAACTACTATTAAATTATGAAGACTGTAAATGAGCTACAAATATTGGATTTTTTTATTCAATTTTTCTTTTTAAAATCAGGCATTTTAAAAGTAATTGTACAATTTGGATACAAATTTCTTTCACCTACATCTAATGAAATGCTTTTGACAATGATGTGGAATTTGATATAGTTAGTGTTTATCATAGTGAAGTAGAAGATATTACGCAATGGTTAATTTATTGCTGGCTTCTTTACAGAAAAGCTATTTAAATTCATTGTATTTGGAGACCTACACTTAATTTTTCCGCATACAAATAAAACTTTCTTTCTTTCAATATAATTATTAGTTTTTAATATTAAAAATAGACAGTTTGATATATAAGTTAAGTCTTTTGATTTTTCATTAATGCTCAGTCCATAAATACTTAGTTTCATATTAGGTTGCAGAAAATATACTCGACATCAATATACTGACCTTCAAATCAGATTTCTTTTTTTTTTTTGCTGTCAAACATCAGTGATAATTAAATATTAAACAGATCACATAATCTTCAAGCTGTGTTAGAAAAAATAATAAATTTTCTATTCATACATATTTTTTGATCATTATCACCCCAAGTAAGGCAGTAAAGCCACTAAAATGCAAGGGTGAAAAAATTAGGAGCAGAAACATTACTAATGAGTAGAAAGAGAAACGATTAATCAGGAGGACAGTAGATAGCAATTGACATTGCATTTAATTTTTTACAGATTAAAGTTGGCTGGAAAACATAGAGCCAGAAGGGAGTTCCACAAGTGAGAAGTGTGAGAAAAGAAAGTGTTATCATTGAAGTTACGGTGACATCTAGCCAGCTCAACTGTAAATTGATGAGACCTCAATGCGAGTCTAGTACTGTGCTTAGATTCATAAAGTCTAGGTACCATAGTCAAGAGCACATCTGAACAATTACCTTGAAAGTATTTATAAAAATGTCAGAGAGGCAACCTTACAGCAGTGGGTAAGCAACTGAAACCAAGCTGCCAGATCAGGACCAATAATATTGCTGATTCTTCTTTGGATCTTATCAAGCAGCTCAAGGTAAATTGCAGGAGCACCAGACCATATATGGCAGCAATATTCTAAGCAAGGATGAATGGCAGACTTATAGATATTTAAGATAGATTCTGGAGAGAAAAATTATCTTGCATGACAGAGTGAACCGACTTTCTTAGCAGCTGACCTAGCAATGAATTTAATATAGTCATTCCACTACATGTCAACTGAAAAGGTGCAATGAGTCACTTTTCTGGAGGTTAGCATCAGTCATGCTGATGGAAGGAGTAAGTTTTAGGCCACTTAAACTAACCTGTTATATTTGATGGCATATAAGACCTTCCCAGTTTTATATGTGAAGTTGAGGTGTCTGGTAGATTTTACCCAGATGCTAAATACTACTTATACACACTTATGTATTGTATAATGACGTGGATGTGCTGGTAAAATGATAAGACAAGACTTGGATCTTTTATATTTAACATAACATCTTATTCAACTCCTGACTTAATCAGTTAGTCTCGGCCAGTCTGTATAGATCCCTTGTCTGATATATGGACCTTACATTTTCTATATGCTAGTCCTGGGTATGATGATAAACTACATCTGGCAGTAAGGCCTCTGATGAGGAGATTAGAAGTTTTGAGGAGTATGGAATCACCTCCGTTGTTCCCAGGTCCACCCTGACCTGGGGTAAGGCACCTGTTAGCGTCTTAGCTATCAGCAAATAGTTAATCCCCCAAAATGGGGTCAAAACACTATGAAAATATAAAAATACATTTTCATTTTTGTAGTAAAATAAAAGCAATAAATTTTCATGGTAAAAAAAATTACCAGCAATACATTTTTGTAAAAGAAATACTAATGCTCCCAAATGATTAAATTAAATGACCCCTAAGGTGTTGATATGCCACTAAACAAACATTCTCCATCTGCAAAATGTATGTGACTACCTTCTCTTCTTTGGAGTAGTTGTTTATATATCCATCTGCTTTTATTACTTCAAACATTATTACAGTGGATACTCATATCTGAAATATATGCCCCATTTTTATTTTTAAACTCTCTGTATTACATCTACTAGCCTGCACATTTGAGAAATCTTAGTAAAGAAAATGTTCTCTCTGGCAGGGATTGAACCTGCTTTTCCCTTTGTAGGAGAAACCACTGATTGATCCAGTGTTCATTTCCATTCAGCTACAGAGAGCATCACAGTTCAGGAAGGCTCTATTTTCCCTTTTAAGCACACTTCCTCTTTCACATATTTTTTCAAGAAGCCCATATCTGCTCAGTTTGACATCTGAAATGTAAACAAAGCAATTTCTAAAGAATTAATGGATTTATTTTTAATCTGACATTTTTATTGCTTCTAATGTTATTACAGTGGACACTCGTATTTGAAATAGACAACCATTTTTATTTTTAAAAAGTGTGTATTATATCTGTCAGCCCATGCGGTCAAGAAATTATAATAAAGAAACTGTGCTCTTCAGCAGGTATAAAATCTACATCCATCTTTGTTGAAGAAACCACCATTTCATCTAGCAGGCTTTACTGTTTGGCTACATAGAGTATCACAGCTCGGCAATGTTTTTTTTTTTTATATGATGTGATGCCTTGAGGTTACAATGGATAAATCATGGCTCCACCCACTCAACTGGAGATCATCTTAGGTCAGCTTTGCACTTGGCTTCCTTTGAAATACTGGTGTGAAAAGGCTAGGCCTATTTTGGTATAATTTGACACATGTAGTTCACTCTATAATATTAAATGTAACTGTGAAGACATCAAATATGGCAGTTATTTGGCAGCCTGTGGGCTCAACAACTGAGGACAATCCAGTGTGATTTGTTCTTAACATGCAGTTAAGTGATATCATTCAGTATTAATAAGATCTATATAGATTCTTCTGTACATATTTGCAATTTAAGGGTGGAGCAGGAAATAATTCAATAATTTATTTAATAGGATATTGGTGTGTAATTGAATGACAAAATGGAAAGGATTCAATGTGATGTATTTGATCCTTCAAACCTGACATATTTGGGAAGAATATTAGAATAATCCAGAATCTATACTGGAAGAAAACCACCTCTACATGGATAGAAAATAAATTCAGTAAATATACAAAAATAGAAAGGGGTGTAAGACAAGGATGCGTTTTCTCAATGGACTTAATCAACCTTTATAGTGAGGTGATTCTGAGAGAGTTAGAAGTTCTACCAGGATTTATTATTGGCAGCCATAATTTTAACAAAATAAGATATGCAGATGACACAGTGTTGATAACAAACATGGAAAAATAACAACAAGAACTCCTATAGAAGGTAGTGAAGGAAAGCTAGAAGAAAAGACTAAACATCAATTGCAAGAAGATAGAATGCATGGTTGTTAGCAAAATGAATAGGCCAACATGTAAATTACAAATTGGACTAAAATCAAGCAAATACAAAAATTAAAATATCTGGCTGGAAAGTTTTTTAACAGATGGTGGAAAGTGTGATACTGAAATCTGAAGGTGGATTAAGATAGTAAAAGTTCCTTCCAAAAGATAAGTATTAAGAAACGGGAAAATTTCATTATAAACAAAGAAAATAGTACTGAACTGTCATGTAATATCAGTCCTCCTAAATGGCAGTGAATGCTGGACAATTTTCTTACAGATAAAAAAGAGACTTTAAACAACAGAAATGTTCTACAGAAGGATGCAGAGAATAACAAAAAGACAAAATTTATTTAGAGCTACAAAGGACAGGAAATTGTGAAGGGCTATGATTGCCAATGGCCTGAAGGGACACAACACATAGAAGAAGGGTTTGATGTGTCTAGATGCACAGTCAACTTCATTTAACTTTGTTTAGTTTTGATTGCTGTTGTTTTTAAATATTCCACATTTTAGTTTGATATATAGAATTTATATACCACATTCTCCTAAATGGGGTATTGTGAACATTGTATTTTGTTTCATTACTTTTTTGTTGTTTTTTTTATGTTAAAGACTTCAAATGCTAAAATAAAACAGACACTTGAGTGATGTTGGAGCATATAGGAACCAATAAAAACAAAAAAACCCAAAAAACAGTAAATAAAGAAAAAATAAATGCAAACCCTTTAACAACAAAGATGAAGAAATTATTTTGAATGAACCAAAGCAAAATATTATTTATTTTTAAGTTATGCTTTATCTGGTCACAAATGATTTGACCCTGAACCTTAAGAAAAAAATTACATAAAAAGAAAGCAAACAGCAAAAAAAAAAAACACAAAATCAAAAGAAAGGAAACAATAAATACAACATAACATATAATCTCTAATTTTCAAGAACTTCATGAATGACAATATTTTTCTCTTCTGTTTTTCTGTTGTTTGCTTGACTTTATTAACTTTACTCTTGCATTCTGCAATGTCCAAACTCTGGAAAAAGCAATCCAAAGGTGTCTGGGGTTAAATAATGATAGTGACAATTCTAATCTAACCTTTTTGAAAGACTGGCTGTGGGCTTTTTTAGCAGTGAATAGCAAAGAGTTTTTCCAATTATTAATGAATGCATGGATAGTCAGAGAACTTGTAATTGAGAAATCAATGTGGTCTCGGAGAATATAGGAATACTGAAAAGGTTTTCTCCATTGTAGGTGTGCATAAAGGCACAAACAAATGTTTGTATATGTGTATTGAGTTTAGCTTAGTACTGTGTTGGGAGAACCGAGGGTATATAGACTGCATTATGTTCAAATAGGAAGGGCCTACCTGTTTAGAAATTCAGCCTTTGAAATCTTGGGCTTTATCCATTAAACTGGGCTTGAACACTGACCTTTGGCACTGCTGGAAAATGCATAACTAGCTCAGGTAGAAGAGAATCACTATCTATCTATCTATCTATCTATCTGAGTCTGTCCTATTTACCTATCTATCTATATGAGTCTCTCCTATCTATCTATCTATCTATCTATCTATCTACAAAAATATAAATGTAAATATAAAGTGGTACATTGTGAGTGTAATATAACAGAGATAAAATTTATACTAAAAGTAAATATATATTTGTTCTTCACTGTTCAAAGCAAACTTAAGTGCACATAGTATATATCCATCAATATACACACCTGCAATGTAATCAATTCTGTCACTTTGATGTGATGTGGCTTCCCTTTGTCTTTTCTACAAATATTTGCATGTCAAATGTTCTGTTCCCTGGTGTCCCAACTATATAAATTTAAGTATGCTACTAGACTAGCATCTAAATCCCACCCTTTTACTATTGAAATAGTTAAATGTAACCACCACTTCTACTCCAACAACTTCTTTTCTCACACTTCCTGCCTGTGGAATTCCTTTTCATTTACTTGCTTCCCTGACAACTACAATCTTCAAAAATTTAAATGCAATGCCAATTGTCATCTTCTGATGTCTTGAACACCGATCAACTTTTATCCTTTCCTTATTCCTCCTATACACATTTTTTCTCTTGCCTTCACTCTATATAACCCCCCCCCTGTGAACCAGTGGCACTCCCACTTTGCTTGGGGTGAAATGCTTAAATATATATATATATATATATATATATATATATATATATATATATATATTGTGCATGTGTGTGTAGTGTGTGCTAAGTATTTGAGAACAAAACTGGAAACTAGCCTAATTTAATGTTGTGTGGTAGGCACTAAATTTTAAATTGCAGTCAGTTTCTTCTGGCTTGTAATAAAGTCCCCTAATTCATTTCCTTCAACCAACAACACATGTCTCCTGTTTGCTACCACACTCACACTTCACTGTCACCTCTTCAAGTACTTTTTATAGATTGAGTGACAGGTCAAATTTGTATAGGTGGAAAGAGAGTCCTGTGAAAGTATCTGAATCCAAGATCTAATTTTTTTTACATATGTGATTTGTAAAGTTGCCATTATTCTTTTTGGAAATATTTTACATGAGGGACATGTCCAAATCTGTTTTCATTCAGGAAGTATGCCATTTTCTCTAGTGTTACAACTGTCATTTTTCTTTCATATGTATTAAGAGTATTAACATAGCATCTTCAAATCTGACACAGGAAATGTAAAGGCATTCTGTGCTTGTGGCTCAAATTGACATCCACAGGGTCACATTGGTTGAAAGTGGTTAGATGAACAGTTGCCTTTGCATGGACCCTATACAAGTACCCACAGTTCATGTCAATTTTGATGGTCTTGGAATTGTTGAGCAATGAGACTCTTATTATACTGTCTACCTTTATCCTGCGGGGCTTCAGAGTCAATGACATTAATCTTACATCACTGTGCTGTATATGTTGGTCAAATCCTGGACTAAAAAATAGGACTGATAGTAGCTAGCTAAAAGTCTATCACCTCCTACCTAATGCCTTCTATTTCTTTTGATTTGAATCTCACAGATACTGTGTCCGGTGTTTACCAAGAGAAAGATCAATCAGCAGCTCTGCAATACTGAGGACTTTTTTATGGTCCACATGATCAAGAATACTTTATCTGTGTATGCAGTTACTTCTTCAGCCATACAGAGGTTATGTTTGAGGGTAAGAGTAGTTTTATCAAGTCCCATATTCTGGAAATAAACACAATAGTATTTGGTAGGTGGTACTTTCATCAATAGGGAGCTAATGTAAATACGCAAGAGGCAGTTCAACAGGTGACACATTTATCAAAAGGAACACCCAGAACAAACACTTGAAGGGAACATAACTAACATTAACATCTATTTTTCTCCACATCTGCCTGACTGCACTGTTTTTATTGACAAGTGATGTGTGGCAAAAACTTGGATGGAACTTGGATGGAAAAACTGCTGATAGAAGCTTGGATGGAAACACAGCAGAGAGAAACCTGGATGTCACAGGTTTCAAAACTGGTGTCACATTTCTGTTCTTTTTCGTTTCCATTAGTCAATGCACACTCATGAATCAGTGGCTTTTTTGCATGTGTGTCTTCATCACAGTGATATATATATATATATATATATATATATATATATATATATATATATATATATATAAAAATGGATACGATAAAAATGTACATACATGCACAAATATTTGCATATACGTAAGTATATTTATTCCTAAAGTATCATTGATGTTGGATATTATGCATATTCACTAATATACATATATATAGTGAATATACATACATACATATATATATATATATATATATATGAAAAATTTCTCAAAGTTAACCTGTAGAAAAAGACAATATGTATAAAGGTAAAGACAATAGGAAAACTGTATTATTAGCCTATGCGTTTCGTCCAATGTGGACATTTTCAAGGCAAAAATGAAATGATACAGTTTTCCTATTATCTTTTACCTTTATACATATACATATACATATATTTATATATATATATATATATATATATATATATATATATATATATATTAAAAGCAAGCAGCTAACACTCATCAAAATTTATTACGAATATAGCAACAACATACTGAAGTGTATTTGACAAACATTTAATGCTATTTTGCATATCTTCTAACTTTTGGTTAGTTCCCTTATATTGGGATGCTTGTTTCGCAAAAATCGGATAAATTTAAAATTTTTAAATAATTATAGCAGAACACATTCACATGATTTTAAAAATCAACATCACAATAATCACAGTTACAATAAGTTTGTCTTTGTAATTCATCCCTGAGGATGATACAGCACTTCCTTGATGAATTTCGGCTTAACATCATGAAACTGATTAGAGAACTAGAAAGGAATGTTATAAAAATAAATAGCCATAATATGTCTATATTATTCAATAACACATGTGTAGTAGCATTAAAGATAGTAGAAGTAGAAGCTCTAAATAAGACTTATCAGCAGCAGTTCTTGAATATAAAAACTTGTGAACATTAATGGGTTTTTCTTTTTCAAATGCGTGACACAAACTTTCCATGCTGAAGCTAAAAGGGCTGCCAATGCTTCTCATAAAACACACAAACAAAGTTCCCACTATAGCATTAATGAACATTTTGTTGTACATACAATTTACATCTAACAAAAGAAATTCTTGTTTTAAACTTTCCTTTTGTTAATTTTGTTTTAATAAATGTTATCTTTGCATTGCAGATCAATTGGTCAGTAATTTTGTGCATGTACTCTTTACACCACCATTATTCCATGTGCTATAAAATGTTCCTGTAAGAAACCTTATGCAGTTAAGTATTGAAGTAGCATATCACTAGACATGACATATTTGAATATATATATATATATATATATATATATATATATATATATATATATATATATATATATATATATATATATATATATATATATAATAGGTCTATCAGCAAAGTTTTAGGCCTATGGCTATATCATGCTGACACACCAGTTCCTGTATGATCAGTAAAGTTAACCAATATCAAGCCTAGTCACTACCTAGATGGGTGACCACTTGGGAATACCAAGTGCTGTAGGTTTGGATGTGCAGGTGGTGTGATGGATAATGGTTTGGGATTGTTAATTGAAGAGCTGAGTCCCAGTTCCTCTTAGGTTTGTGATATTCACTTATGCACAAATACCATTGGGAAAGGTATGAATCTACCTCTTCTCCCCAGCTATGGGTTAATTTTTAAAACTTTTATCACTAAACCATTATTATTTCCAAAACAAAAATTTTTACAAGCTAAATATATTTTCTGCCTTTAAATAACTTAAATGTTTTGATGTTTTTGCCATTTAATATTAATAAGAAATAGTTTCTCTAGGGAAATGTTTTCTTATTTTCCCTGGGATCTGATATTCTCATCCTCCATGTTACTTCTATTTTTCTAAACAGTCTACAAGGTCTTCTTTTGGGATTGCCATCAATTGCATTGCCATATTGTCCTAAATCCTTAATTCTATCCATGGTCTGAAATCTTTGCTCTTTTAATGTTTCAGGAAAAAACAGAAGTCACAGGGAACCATATCTGGTTTGTAAGGAGGCTGACAGACCTGGTTGATGTGATATTGTGCCAAAAACTCTGCATTAGATTTCAAGAATATGTACTCATTCAGTCAATGTGAATAAGTACAAAAGTGGTAGATCACTATCAACAGACTAACACCACAAGAGAGAGAGAGAGAGAGAGAGAGAGAGAGAGAGAGAGAGAGAGAGAGAGAGTGTGTGTGTGTGTGTGTGTGTGTGTGTGTGTGTGTGTGTGTGTGTGTGTGTGCTCACACAAATATAGTAAGATCCCTTCTGATTGTTTGCTAAATTACATCTAGACCATAAAACTAGTTCTCAAAGTATTCAAAATAGCTGGATACATTCTGGACAGATGTCAAATACAGTTCTGGTCACCATTAGTGGCACCTTTTTTTATTTTTTTTGTTATATCTTCAGAAATAAGTGAAAAGAACCACATTTATATAATCAGAATTTTTTAATTGGTTGTCCAAATTAATTTAATGTTTTTTTAAAAGAGACTCAGTTGGTATTTTCTCACACTTTTCCTTTGTAATTTGTTCAAGCTCTTGAATGTTTGCAGGATTCTTTTCCCCAGTGGCAGATTTCAGATGATCCCATAGATTTTCACTGGGATTGAGACCAGGACTCATTGCTACCCAGTTTAAAAAAGTCCATTTCTTTCTTTTCAACCATTCATCTGTGCTTTTGGATATATTCCTTGGGTTATTATCTTTGACTCAAACCTAGTTTTCTTACATTGGTAGCACATTTTACTCTAAAATCTATTGGTAATCCTCAGAGTTCATGATTCTGTTGATACAATCATGGCTTCCAGTACCAGATGCAGCAAAGCAGACCTACAACATTATGGATCCTTGACTGTTGGTAAGGTGTTCTTTTCCATATAAGCTCCATTTTGATGTCTGTAAATATATTGTAGGTGTGCTTTGCCAAAAAAATCTATTTTTGTTTTGTCTGTACACAAAAAATTTTCCTGAAGGATTGTGATTTTTCCAGATATCCTTTGGCAAACTTTTAGTCTTTCCTTTTTATGTCTTTCCTTCAGTAACAGGGTTTTCCTTGGCCTTTGTCCATAAAGCCCTGCTTGGTTTAGTGTATGCTTTATGGTACATGATGTAACAATTATCCCAATCTGGTTAGCTTTCAGATTTCTGGATGTTTTATATGTTGTTTTTCCATGATTTTCACTAACCTTCAAAGACTTTTATTATTAATTTTTCTCTTACTCCCATGTCCAGGGAGGTTCTTGACAGTTTCATGCTTAGCACGCTTCTTAATAACATTCTACACTGTTCAAACAGGAATACCAATTATCCTTGGTGATTACCTTATACTCTTTAGAGGTCTTGTGCTTACTAATAATGGCATAGCTGATGTTTTCAGGTAACTCATTTGACTTTACCATTGTGACAAAGGAACAGGAAATAACATATGGCTTTTAAAACATTAAAGTTATTCATTGGCTAATTACTGTCATGTGATCACTGACAATTTATGAAGGGTGATTCTAATTTCTGATGTATCACATTTGAGTCAAAATGGTTTTTAACTAATTTTTTTCTTTTTTTTTAAAGGATGCTAATATGAGTGTCACAGCAATCTTTCAGTTTTTTTTTAAATTTTTCCTCCTATTGCTTTTTTAAAACTTGTTGTTTTATCAAATGTATTCTTTATTAACCATGGGTTATCAATGGACCAAAGCTGTTTTATTAGATTTGCTTTTTCTATATTATGTACTGAAATTTCATGCATGCCAATAATTGTGACCAGGACTGTATATATAGAATCATTGCTGTTCATAAATAAAAAGTATATACAGCTTTTATTTAGGAACAGTAATGAAAAGTTAAATTAGATTTCTAAAGATAACTTGTAAATCTGGTGACTAATTTCAGATGAGGTTATTTGAGACTTAAGTGCTATAACTATTTTTTACTGAAAAACGTCAAATATATCCAAATATTTGCTGCCTGTATTACATTCAGATAACTTTTATTTGCTACAGGGGAAAACCAATACATGCAAATGGTAAATTAAAATGAATCATTTCTTTCTTTCCTCAACTTTCTGCTCTCATTCATTTTCAACTGGATTTTAATTAACAATATGGTTTTTACATTTGGATTTCTCTACCAAAATTTAATTCAGAATTCTTTTGCATTATTCCTATGGTTTCTCATATTCTAATCATAAGAAAATAAAGTATATTGATCTTAAAAGATGACCTTATCTTATAAAGAGAAGCATTTAACAATATATATTATTGATTTGATAGTGAAACCTTAATTAATACATTCACTACCAGAGCTCAAATGAAATCTGATTTCAAACACCAACTTTAGAATAGCCAATTTAGGCAATAAAAATATTTTTGATTTTTTATTGTTTCTACTCAAGCAAGATGATAATGCCACTAAAACACAAGAGGTTACTCGGAATGAAAGATGAGAAAACATTAGTGAGGTCAAAAGAGAATAAAAGAAGAGGATTCAGGAAGATTGTGAGTGATGTTAAACTTTTGAAAATTGTAGGTGATAAGAAAGCAAGAAAACAGAAGAGAGGTCCACAAGTGAGAAGTGCAAGAATAAAATTTACAGTTTCACCTGTTTGTTTCAACAGTAAAATGATGAGACCTAGTTGCCAGTCTAGTACTACATTTAAATTCATGTGGTTAAAATACCAAAGAGAAAAGTTCATCAGAACACTTGCCATGAAAATATTTATAGAAAAGGTATGGGGAAGTCAGGTAGGAAAGTGACTGATGTTGAGATACCAGGTCAGGATCAATTATATTACAGATCCTTCTTTGGATATTATCAATTGTCTGTAGATATATAGTAGGAACATGTCAGATTTGGCATCAATATTCAATGCATGAATAAATAATAGATTTACAAACATGCAAGATGGATTCTAACAAGTTGTCTAGCATGGTACAGTGAACCAAGCTTTCTTGCAGCAGACCTAGAAATTGATTCAATATAATCATTCTGCTTCATGTCAGTCAAAAATATGAGGCCAAGGAAGTGTAATGAATTGCTTTTCTGGAGTCTGGCATCAGCCATACTGATGAAAGCCAAAACTGGTTCTCTATGATGACTAAAAGATAGCAGTTTTGTTTTAAAAGAATTAAAGTTTACATTGACACCTGCATTAATGTGGAAGGATCTAGAAGAGTGGCTATTCAACATGACAATCATTATATGATTTGTTAAGAAGGAGTGGATCAATTCACACATTTAGCTGGAGACACCCCATAGCCATTAACTTGTGAAGAAGACCAGTCTGTCTTTGAGATATCTAAAGCCACAGCCTTAGCTTCACCCTTCTTAGTTAAATCTTGGCATACTCATTCAGTAATAGGTGTTAATACATTGGCAGTTGACCAAGAGAACTGAAAGCCATATTGTTTCTCTGAAAGAGGAGTGAGATGTTTAATTAATTTGGAGTTGATTAAAGCCTTTAGTATTCCTGATGAGTTGAGAGTGAAATTGGAAGAAAACTTGTATGCAAAGCATTCTGCCTTATTAGTAGTAGATGATAAAACTTTAAATTGATTGAAGAGAAGAGGGATTGAGGATTTATCCTTGTTTAACACAATTTTATAGAGCCACCAGTAATCATGCGAACCAAACTTATGAAAGGCAATACAATGTCTCATTCTATCAGTGAATAGCAACTTAGCTTCTTTGAAAACAAACTTATAGTTATTAAGACTGGAAACAAAAAGGCATCAGTTATAATCCGAACTATCATGTTGGTATAACTAGAAGCAGAGATTCCTGTGGGCTATAGAAGCTGAACAGGCAGCAATGACCCAAGAAGAAGATTGTGATTTAATTTAGTTTCCATGATGGCCCAAAAGTATTGATGCCGAAGTGGAAAACTTGGTGACACTATCTTTAATGGGAAGATTGAAAATCTAATTCCAATGAGCATCACAAAGAAAATCATGAAATTAATTATAATCAGTGTGTAACAAAATGATGTTTTGTGAATAGGAGATTCCTACCTAAGAGATGAATGGAAAGAAATACCTACAGACATTATAATGTGATTCAAGTTCTGTTGATTTATAGCTAAAACTGAAATCTTAACAGTGTTTTCATACTAAAAGTATAAAATGTATTAGTCAATGTGATAATACATAAGGATCTCAGCAATAATAAAACTGCCTATTTTATTATGTTTTGTCCACAACATTAGAGGTGGATATTGATGATTTGACAGTAGAGCTTGAACCTTCCTGACAATAGTCCATATTTCTTTACCTTTTTATAGATAGTAGTTCAGTGGTATTCTGGTAAAATTGTGTCTAACATGAAAGTGCATATGAAGCAGAGTTGTATGATTGAACTTTTCCATATGGGAAAATTGCACCCATGTACATTCACTGATACTTGATGGGTGTTTATAGAGACCAAACAGTAGATGTGAGCACAGTATTTAAGTAATGGGTAATGTGTTTCAGCAGTGGTTCTATTTCTACTAGTTTTTGTTTGTT